TGTTTTTAATCAGTTTGAATTAATTAGCAATTTATTCTGAATTTCATGTATCGAGTTATATACCAAATGCGATGCCCCAAAGATATAAATTACAACCATATACCGGAATCTGGAAACTTAAGCAGCCAAAACTGTTCTCTGGAGCTAGCCTACCGTGTATGTGTAGAAAATATATCTTTTGGCCTTGTCAATAAAATTTTTAAGAGATAACCTGTGCTGAAGTCAGGCTAAATGTTTTTCTCTCATCTCTGTGCATTTGTTTAAGATGTTTTACAACGAATAATTCCATTTTTGTCGAAAGAGAACATACATGTGGCTCCATATAGTGATGGCTTAATTGATGGACAAACTGTAATGCGGCTGACCGTAATCGCCGACTAACCAGAGGTTTTTCTATCCACAAAAGATACTTTTAAGTTGCGTTACCAAATGTAAATACCTTATTTGAGACTTCTGTGTGGAGGTCATGTGTTGCATGTAATAAAACTGGTAAAAGTGTTTTGGTTTGAGGAAACATTGAATTGTCAGTGCTCGAAATAAGAAAAAAATGTGGTTGTCCTGCGGACAACCCCGCATCAAATCGGGTTGTCCGCCAACAATTTCTGGTTTGTCCCAAAAAAAATCCCGAAATCTCCTTTTTTCAATCACATAATAATATAATCAGAAAACACCCAAAACAGTGGGTAGCCAGGATTTTTAACAAGGGGGGCCAAAAACAGCGAACTGCGCAAAATAGTGGATGACTTAATATTTCACTGGCTCCTCCGCCCTCCCGTCTCCACACCCTACGGCTCCCCTACCTCTCTCAGCTCTGCAATATTGTTTTGGGCGCATGCGAAAAAAGGCCGACATTTTTGTTCATTTTTCTCTGCCTCCCAAAATATGTAATTGTTCAGTGGCGGGTCTAGGATTCCAAGGAGGGGGGGGTGAAAAACAGGCGGGGGGTATGGGGGTGCTCCCCCAGAAAATTTTGGAAACTTGCTGGTTTTGCTGGCTTCCAAATCGAGTAACAGTTCACCTTCATAAATCAGAAAACCTGACATATGATATTATACCAGTGTTAGAAATAGTAGCTGTAGCTCCCATATTTTTATTTTTATATTATTCACGATTTAATTCGACGATTAAGATTTCTTGATGAGCTAGAAAACACGTCGGCATTTGAAGTATGAAACTGAACATTATTGCTGCTAGCTAGCCTATACCAGTTGGTTGCATGGGATTGATTGTCAGTTCAGATGCCAAAATATGAGAAGCAAAAGGTTATACACATAGATTAATTGGGTACCACGCGTATATAGATAGCCGAGTCGGTTTAGAGTTAGTGTGGGTTAGAGATAGGGTTTTTTTGGTGCACCGGACAATGTTCTCAGACTCGGTTTAGGTTGTCCGTGCGCAAATTCTGGTTGTCTCGGACAACCGGACAACGCTTATTCGAGCACTGATTGTGATAAGTGGATTTTTCGCCGTAAATGCGACTGACGATTTTTACGAATGGCATGGCGTTCACAGCTACAAAGCCTGCAACATTTCAATAGCATTAATTTAAAGCTTTTGGATCAAGTTGAAATCAGTGTATTAAACTTGACAGAAAGACTCCAGCCTTGTAAAAAACTGATTAATTTGATGCAAAATATTGAAAGCAAAAGGTTATACACCATAGATTAATTGGGTACCACGCGTATATAAGATAGCCGAGTCGGTTTAGAGTTAGTGTAAGGGTTAGAGATAGGGTTTTTTTGGTTGTCCACCGGACAATGTCTCAGACTGGTTAGGTTGTCCGGCGCAAATTCTGGTTGTCTCGGACAACCGGACAACGCTTATTTCGAGCACTGATTGTGATAAGTGGATTTTTCGCGTAATGCGACTGACCGATTTTTACGATGGCATGGCGTTCACAGTACAAAGCCTGCAACATTTCCAATAGCATTAATTTAAAGCTTTGGGTATCAAGTTGAAATCAGTGTATAAACTTGACAGAAAGACTCAGCCTTGTAAAACTGATACCACCAAATTATAGAATTGACACATAAAAGTGTAATGCGACTGACCGTGGAATTGCCCCTATCCATCCCATCCCATCCCATACAGTATAAAATAATAAGAAATCAAAAGATAAGACAAAAATAAAAATAATTAAATAAATAAAAAATAATACATATTGAAAAAAAAGGGAAAATAAGTCCCCCAGCTGAGACTCGAACCCGGAATCCAGGTGTAGCAGACGGATGTTCTAGTGATGAGGCCACTGCGCCATTACGGTTATACACCATGGATTCAGACGTACGTGATGTTGTGCACGTACGTACGTCACCGCCATCTCTTGATCAATTTAGAATTTTTTATGAATGTTTAACTTTTTACCCAACTTTTTTAAATTTTTGTTTCAGCTAAAACCACCTCCCAGACGTTCTGATTCTGTTAGGGTTTCTAGATATCTTTAGTTTTCCTCTAGGCTGCGGAGTTCTCTAGTTATGCGAGTACGGACTAATTCAGCTGAACAACTTTATATATATCTAATATATGTTTGAGTTCGTATGTATTTATGTATGTATGTATGTATCTTCCCTATAATTGGTGGCCAAACCGCCCAAGCAATCTGGATGAAATTTTCTGGAAATTTCCTACCCGGGGAGTGTTCCTCGATGAAAAAAACCTGTCAAACCGTCAAACTCACCGAAAAACCCGTCAATTCGTGAATCTTCACACAATGTCAGCACTCACTGTACAGTGCTGCCACACACAGAAAAATCGATCCCCTCACCTCATCCGGCTGCTGGTATTGTGAAACCGAAACCAATACTAAAACACCACAACCAGCACCAGTTTCACCAGTTCAGAGGTACTACTCACTCAGCTCAGAGGTTCAGTTCAGATGCTACGATCTCAGAATGCACTGTACCATTCGAAAGCTATGCAGTTTCTGATTCAGTATGAAAATTTCTTCATTTCAATGTGCATGGTTGCGTCTCTCTATCTATACTATGAGCAGCTAATGCTCCTGATACTATATTCCTTTTATTTATGCTACGATCTCACAATGGATAGCTGTACGTGGGGAGCTCAAGTGTTGAAGACGCCAGGAATCTCTACATATTTGCACCAGAGAATAAGACGAAAAACATTCTTTATCAAGAGGCTTTCAAATGAAAAGTCCAACCCATTCCTACAAGCTGTTATAATAACTTTTTGTCATTTACACCATATTACTATTATGTCCCAGGTGTTCTAAGTTCGGTTGTGCTGTCATATAAATGTCATACGTAACAGTTTTTTCGTTTTTCCCATGCTTATTATCTTATTACACTCATTTCTAAATATTAATATTGTCTGCAATGTTATTGTCGATTTTCACCCAATGTTCCTATTCTGTCCCATTATTAGTACTATGAATTAGTAGCACGATTTTACCCAGCGCAGCGGGTACCCGCAGCTAGTATATATATATACATAAATGTGTATATATATGTATGTTAGTATATTATGAATGTGTTCAAAAGGTTTCGTATTGGAAATGTGATTCACGAAAAATAACTTGTTCAAAATGATCTAACAAATGTGTAGAAATAAATTGGAATTGAACCTAAAAGTTTTCTTGATAGCTAAACCTTATATGGGATTCGAACGTAAAATAAAAATCCAATTTATTTCTACACATGCAGGTACATGGATTAGAGTTAGAGTCTCTAAAAATGAAGACCAGAATAAATAAAACAAGTTTATTTTTACATCCGATCAACTCTTTTATTAATCTGTGTGCTAGTGTTGGGTTGTTGGATGAAAAGAATGTAATCATGACGAAGCCATTGAATGAATGAAGGTGAAGATGAATGATAATCAGTGGATTGACATGACATCCCAATTTTCGTTTTGTATTTCACTTTAGACTGAGGATTGGTCATGATTCCATCATCACACCCCAAGAGGCATGATGGAGAGCCCTCAAGGAGCTCTCCATCATCCCTTTTAAGGGTGTGATTTTTAGTGGAGCTCTGCATCATGCCTCTTAAGGGTGTGATTTTTTAGTGGAGCTCTCCATCATGCCTCTTAAGGGTGTGATTTTTTAGTGGAGCTCTCCATCATGCCTCTTAAGGGTGTGATTATGGAGCGTGAAAAGACCCCTATGGTGTCCTAGGGGAGTCATTTGTAGTCCTCCTGTACTTTTCAAATCTGAAAGCCTGGTATACATAGTGTAACTGGTGAATGTGAGAAATTATTTGGCAGATCTATTAAACTAACCTAACTATTGTCTATTATTGCGAGATTTTTGCTCAGAAAAACTAAATATAGCTGAATATAGTCTCACCTGACAGCGGAAATATCACTGATTACACCAACATTAAAAATACTAAGATTTTATGCAGTTATATAGCATAAAAAAATGGATTTTACCACGTAACAGCAATAAATTTTATCGTATGCCGATAATGCCTAATGGCAGAATTGATCAACTTGTATTTGTGTCGGTGATGAATTGAAAACATGTGCATGGTTTGAGATAGCCTGTACTATGTCTACGGCAGATAAGCGGTGGCGCCACAAGCTAATCCATACTTCCGCCTAGTTCAAGATGACAGGAAACGATTGTTTACAAAAACTAGTAGTTTGAAACTGGCACTTGGTGAATACGAAGGTATCACTAGAATAATCAAATGAATCAATCTAGACAATTGCTGTTACTCGAGCAATAACGGTAGGTGTCATGAAAGTGGTGAAAACACTGGAAAACTCTCGCAAATAGTATTATAATGTGACTTCTTTTGGTCCGGAAAAACGGGTAATCCAGAAAGGCCTTGGAACCAAGGGATCTGGAAAATCGGTGGTGTACCTGTACATGTGCTGAAGATATCTGATAAATGCAATATTGTTGAGCAGTTAAAATACTAAAATTTCTGAGTCATACAGTACAAAACAACTATACAGCGTACAACATGATGGAAAAATATACAAAAAACGTCAGTACATTCTATACAAGTAAATAATGCTTCTCTGTATTGCAGGTTACTTAATTTGGCACGTCAGGCCTATCACAACGCAATGGACATCTATTTTTCCGGAAGCATCCGAGGAGGCCGTCAGGACGTGGAGGTCTACCAGCGTGTTATCAAACTACTGCAACAGTATGGTGCCGTGCTGACGGAAAACAACTTCAAGGCAGGCGGTGGCGGTGATGATGGTGAGTGAGCATGGACGGGTTCCCACAGCATAGACATAACCTGGCATGCAATTTTGGCAAACTGTTTTTCAAATGCCTTCACTGAGAAAGGAAAGCATTCGATCGGGTCCTGGGAAAACTGAAAAGTGCCGGAATCTTAAAATGTTGCAGGCCTATAAAATAAGGATATTATTATGTTTCATGGTCAAAATGTTGATAAATTATGGTGTGATATCCTTCAGGTGAAACAGTAATGTAGGCTATTTGCTCATTCCTGCTATAAATAAAAATGTAGGTACTCGCTAACACGGCTGAAATGTTTTACCAATGTTACTGGCTCTCCCGATAATTTGCCGGCATTTGCCGAACCGATGGGCCGGTGCTAATTTCGCGCCCTGCCATTTTATTTGATAGATGGCGCCTCTGGGCAGAAATGTATGTGTAGATGTATTATGTATGTGGTCTCCCAAACAGTTTGTTGACGGTACCTAATCGGCCACAGACAGGCCGTAGTGAGTAAAAACGGTAGCAATTTTGTGCATACCTTGGTCAGTTCTAAACACAGTCGTTCAATCATCGTATAATGTAGAAAATCGTGAATATCTCCGTTGTTAGTAATGCTGCAGTTGCTGATGTTACGCTGATGAAAGTGATTTCTCAGAACTCACAACTCCAATTCCAAAAATTTTGATTCCATATTAATGGAGTACAGGGTTCTCCCCAAGATGAAATTGAAACAGGGGGGAGGGGGGGAAGGAGGGGAACTAGGGGGGTCCGGGGGGGCGTGTTTTTTTACCGTACCACTAATTAATGCGTAAAATCACCACCACACCATAGACGGTATTTGGGGTTCTTGTATATATAGGATATAGCCGAGTCGGTTACAGTTAGTGTTGGTTCCGGGACAGGTTGACTGTTTGTACTTGTGTGTGGTCTGCAGTGCATGCGTGGTACGGTAAAAATACACGAGTCGGGTGTCCTGGTCGAATGGGAATTGTTGACGATCAATTCCCTCGCTGTCAAACTTTTGTTGTGGTGGAATTTAATCGGCGCGGAGGTAATTTAAACGGGGCGCAACGATTGAAACAGAGGGGGAGTTTTCCCAAACGGGGCGCGCGCGCCCCGTTTGCGCAACGTAGGGAGAGCCCTGGAGTAAACAGTCTCTGGATTTCTTATGAAATATTATATTTTAGAAGTTTGGCTCTTTATTCACATTAATTTTATTGTTGTGTCATGAAAAAAACGGTACAGATATTCTTGCATCATTTCCTAAAATTAAACATTTAAAAAATTCTAGGGACTGTTTACTAGTGCATACTATGAATAACGTTTATGTTCCAAGAATCCTTTTGCTGTTTCTAAGAAATGTGGGAAAAAGCATTTCATCGTATAAATGAACAATTTTTGCTGTCACGTAATTGCGGTAAAGTTTCTGTGATTATTTTCACGGTGAGCGTGAAGAAACATCTCTTTTATTAAATTGGATTTGATGAGCGGTTATGTTGTAATGCCCTTTACAGTTGTATTTTGTAACTGTCTGTAACACAATAATATCGAGTTTATTATAAAGTGAATATAGTCGTTTACTGCCTGACAAAAAATGAAACTTACTTGAATCAAGAGTTGGTCAGTACAGGGTCATAAAAAAGTGTTTTCCCTTATGTTTGAAGCCTATAAGGGCCGACAAGACTAATGTTGAACTACATTTGTATGGGAATTAATTCATGATTAACAGATAATGAAATTGATATTATTGCCACTATTCACAGCACAATTTGGAAGCAAGTAATATATTGTCTGTATGCCTTTTAAACTGTTTTTTTTAAAGCTGTTAGGCCATCCTTAAAATAATATATGTTTGCTGTCCTCGGACCGACCCACGAAAATAGCCGCAACCCAAAAGTTTTGTTTGACATTTTGGATTCTATTTTTTTTCTTTTTCATTTTTTATAGTTAAGACTGAAACACAAAGCATGTGTGGCAAACATGAGGACAGACTTAAAATAACTATTATGCCTCACACAAAAAAGACATACCTACCTACCCACTAAAAAAATCATGGGTCGGGTGACAGCAAACATTTTTACAAAATGTAAATTTTTTAAGGATGGCCTTATGCACTAATGTTTTTTTCGTATTTGTATAGAAAAAGATCTAGATGATCGAGAAATCCATGACCGATGCATGGCTTGGCTAGAGCAGGCTGAAGGTAAGTACATTGTTGCAAAATTATTTATACAAAGCTAACAGTGCATCTCTATGAGAATAGGTTTTAAAAGGTAACTGGAAAAAATTGAGTTCAAATTAGTACAAATTTATTTAATAATTACAATTAGAGTTTGCTACCGCGAAATTTTACCAAAGTACCACGATATTACTGCGGTATACCACGATTTCAAGAACAGGTCAGAGGAATATAACTCGAAGGTCAAAGGTTTTAGTGAAACACGCTTGTGATCGATCGCGCCCCGTTCTCCCATCAAAGGCACCGCTGCCGCGCTCATGGAAAAACGCCTGGCAGTCGCCACGTCGCAGTATTGTAATCTGCTATATCTTGTAATTCCTTTGGAACAAACATGAGCGAGAGTAGGAGTGTCGTACGGCTAGAACCAGTCTGAAGTAATGAAATATGTACAAATAAAACAGCGCAGACTATCTACTAGGCATATAGAATAGGTGCTGGAGATACGCGAATATAGCGTGAATGGTGTCGATCGGCGGAGATGAATTTATAAAGCTATGCAATGACGAGGAAGGGAAATAAAATTCATGTGATAAAAATAGCTAAAAAAAGGTCGGTACACCACTACACCACACAAAGTACCGCGGTACGTGACCTGTACCGGTAATACCGCATACCTCTAATTACAATATCCTATGGTTCTGTGTCGCAGCTATTATTTTGCTTGATACTCGCAGACTTGATCAAGTTACACTAGCTGAATAAAAATGTTATCTGGGTTTATTGAGGAAAATTTAGAATTTTGGTGTGGTTATATAGATTCATTGGTAGCCAAGGTCCAGGAAGACATTACATGTTAGTAGGTGAGGCCTCTGCTCTGCCGAATAATTTCATGTGGATTTCTCATGGATTTTTTCATTTAATAATTTCACACACAGTTTTTCAATTGATTCGTGAGGCAGTCGGTTTAATTTGACTATGTCACGAATTTTGTATGGTGTATATTTGTAAAATTTTTGTTGCAATTTTTATACATGAAAAGTAAGTACTAATGGGATTAAATGTATCCTCAAATTCTTACCTGATAAGATTGTTTCTCAACTAGGTAAAAAAAAAACTCGGCGATATGATATTTTGATCACGACATTAAATGCTTGCTATGGGTTATGTATGAGTCATGAGTGTTTGTTCACATTGAACGGAATAGCAAAATAGGAAGTATAATGCAGCAATTTAACCATAAAAAGTTAACAGAATCACTTACATTTTGTGAAAAAATTTACATATTTTTTTACTTTTATTATTTTCGGTGACGTAATCACATGAACTTTCCCTGCAAACTCACTTGGTGATATGTATTTATGGTAACATTTATGTTCATTACAGTTGTTGTGGCAGAAGTGACACAGCCATCTTTGGGAGTTGGTTATGAAATTGCACAAGCTGTTGGCATGGACAAACGAATCCTGTGCTTATTCCGCGAGTCGACTGGAAAAAGTACAATATCGCACATTATTTCAGTTCATGCAATTGTATTCGATTCACCAACTGTTCAATTTATCTGTTTTGCTTTGGTTATGTGATTATACTGACTTGTTGATAAGGAAGGACTTCTGCATGCACTTTTCCTGTGAAAATACGTGTGTGGGATCTAGGTATTCGGTAAATGCAAGAACAAATTTCTCTTGTTTCGCAGAGCTGTCGGCGATGATCCGTGGCTGCGATAATGAAGACACAATCATTGTAAAAGATTACAAAGAAGCAGATCTTCCTGCCATTCTTCAGGAATTTTTTACATCAGTACAGGCAGAGGTAAGCACGATTCATACATGGGGTAACTATGCTAAATGTTTGAATATTATCTATCACTATCTGTATTGACTATCCTCGTTGCCTGCAGTTTATGTTAATAAGTCTGCGACATTGGCATTGTTTTTGGTGTTTAATTATTGTTTAAAGGGAAAATATATTACAAATCAATGAGCAGGTTTTTAAAAATTCCAATTGACAGTCATCGTTATGGGCAATGTGATCCTTGCAATTCTTCCTATTCCTTTATCTGTAAATGTATTATTGTTACCACCTGGCAGTAGCTGATTTTATAGTTCGCACAGTCCTTGAATTTTTACGAAGAGTCCTTGCATGTAATAAAAAGAAATTTTGTACCATCAATAATGTGCAAATAATACCTTTGATAAAAATTCAGTTTTTTCGTTGTTTGTTTGTTTTTCTGCTGTTGACAACACGTAATGTAAAATTTACATTAGAGGTGACAGTGATTAAGAATGGGGTTATTAAATTAATCCAGGTATGTTTTGTTCTGTGTATGAATTCCGATAAAATGACCTTGAATTTCCGATAAAATGTCCTTGAAAATTCATTGAAAAAATGTTCAGTCCTGTAATATGAACCATGGATTTGTTTGTCTGGATATGGTTACAGGCGGAAGGAGATGATGGGGACGAAGGGGAGGAAGACATCGAAGGAGAGGAGGTTGATGAAGAGGAGGGAGCAGGGGAGGAGGAGGAGGATGAAGATGATGGAGAGTAGATGCCCCAAGTTCCAAATATTGACATTCATTCAAATGGTCAGTGTACGTACAGGCCATGAGGTTGTAGTCAGTCCAAACTCTGCAGTGGATCCAGCACACGACTGGCTTCCACGACTGTCCAATTGATAAACACCAAGGATGTCTGGTAGATCCGGTCACCAGCAAAAATGAACAGAAAGACTCCTGGCAAGGCAGATCCCAGAGAGGTGAATGCAGCGAGAAATTGTGATTTTGGTTCCGTTTTTAACGGGGACTTTGAGGTCTGCTGACATCCAGACTTCTAACATCGTAACGATCTGATGTGTTCATCGCTAGAATTTTATCAGCAAGTTTCGCATTCTGGATATTAATCCCTTGGAGGCGATAGTGGTTGTTGTGAAGATACCGTCTGCTGCATTTGCTTCTCTGGCCGTGTGATTTGTGTTTTTTGTTCAACTAAAACCCCCTCGGGTTGGCCCTCGGCTATAACTTGTAAATAGATGTCTAGCCAGATTGTACATTGACGGCACTGTCTATCAGTACTATCTCCCCGAATGAACAACTTGATGCCAAGGTTCCATCAAGAATAGAAGAAGAACAATATTGTTTGTAGTTGTTAAATACCGTCTAATGCGGATCTCGTTAAGTCTTGTGCTGTGTAGAGCATCGATGCAGTCGGTGTTTCCGACATGAAATGTCTTCTGTCTCGGTGTTTGCACACACTATGATCCTATGGTGATTCTGTGTGCATGACCCTACCAACGTTGAAGGTATGTAACTGAGTAAAACCAACTTGATGTATGAAATCTTTGCACTTTTTCAATAGGTGACATTTTGCGTGTCGTTTGCGAGTCATGGATGAAAGTATAAAACAGAAAAGTTTCGTCATTTACATAATCAACTTGCAATTTCTGTGCCCCGCATTCCAAGAGTTTGATTTTACTTGGCACATCATCCTCAATTGAAATCGTGGTGTTGTCAATTATAAGTGACACGGCGGTACTCCTTTGTCTGGGGCCATTCGTGAAATTCACTGTTTACTTCATTTTTTTGTTGTGAATGTCCTTTCTTTTATACCATTTGCGTAAATGTTTTGTGTATATACATGTAGTTTTCTAAAGCCTGAGTAGTCATGGTCAATACGAGAGCCATGAGAATACCCTAGTTAATTTTTTAGGATCGCTTGAGAAAAAAAGAAGCCGTCTGCAAGAGTATTGACCATTAGGGTAATTTGCTGCCGCTGGTTATAGGTTCGTGTGAGCATGTGCATGCATCTTCCAAGTTTAGCTAAAGTTGGAATGTGTTCATCTTGTAATGCAATAATGTCCTTAGCAGCAGTGTAGCGCTACAAATTTTACACAAGTTTGTTTAACTTGAGCAACCAGTGCAAGTTTTGGTGTGAACTATCATTGACACATACAGAAATAAACAAGTAGCCAGCTCGTGTTCATCAGCCTGCAACGCCATCCTGGTGCTCTGTCTATTGCGAAGCGTTCCTCTGCGCTCTAGGCGTAATTCAGGTACCGCCCTCAAGCAGTTTTAAATGTGCAACATGGTGGTGTTGGGTTGGTTCTAGATTCACTATGTTACATTTTTAGAGCAGATCGCACACTCGTCTAGCCGCACCATGTTTAGTGTTCGCTGTCCTAATATTATTATTATCGCGTAGAGAATGAGGATTTCCAAGATGTAACCAAAGATATCTGACCAGCTGAAAGCTATTAATGTTCCCTAAGTGAATTTTTTCTGCCACGTTTTGTTTTCTGGGTGCGTCCTTAGAATTTGGAACTGTACAGTGCCGAGCTCTCTGTCTTTGGGCTCTACTAGGCCTGCAGCTGCGCATCAGCGTATTCATCTAAAACAAAGGTATATATTTTACTGACAAATACCAGGTGCCGACTGTGTGAACTGTGCTCAGGTGCTGGTGCTGTTACGGGCACAAAACACGAATCATGTAAGGCTGTCTTTGTAGGCGTTGCGCTAAGAGCAACTACAGTGATGCCTGCTTGGCAACACTCACTCCAGTATCCGCAAGTTTTGTGTCAAGTTCACAGGTCGAGATTACCTAGAGAATGATTCTGCACCATGCAACACACAGGACGTGTCTCGTCGTCGTCGTCGTCGTTACGACGTGACGGACGTACTTTCTGAATGGAGACGTACACTACGGATTTCAGTTTGGAAATCCGTTCATGCTCCATTGAGCTCTGAGCGATGATATGCAGAGTACATGTGCGTGAACGTGTAGGACCGGCTGTCTAACATCGCAGCTACGAGCTAAACTAGAATGCGCGAGAGCTGGCCACCTTCACTATAGTTGCTACGATTGGGCTGTGGTGTGAGGGAAAGAACCGGAAGTCCACAAATATCTGTCAGCGTAGATTTGTATCAAGATCCTACAGAATAAAATAATCATTTCTAAACAAATTATGTCTAGTATTGTATTGTTAAATGCGCTCTGTGAAGATAGTGGTTTTAGTAATTGTCGAGCAAATGGTTGAAAATAAAAAAAACCTATTGTATTATTATTTAACTTGTCATTTTATGAGAAACTAGCAGGGTAACTGGCGTTGCTGGGGAATAACGCTTAGAACAACTTTTGTTAGAGCAAATTCAGCCACATATATTTACTTAATTCTACTTATAGATTCGTAACAGACGAACAAACAATAAACAATATTCTTACAAAAGCAGTTCAAACGATTCATATATGACTAGTGAACGCTTCTGGACGTGACGGGCGTGATCAGGGCGCAGCCCGATGATTGGCATGCAGTGCCACGCTTACACAGGCATCGCCCCCAGCCCCTCATTGCCAAAGTTTACATCTAATGCTAGGGCACACGAGCGATTTTTATCGCACGATCGCGGCGATTAAAATTGCCAGCGAATTAATCGGCCCGGATCACGAAGGGCACACCGTAGCGATTTTTTATCGCCCGATCACGAAGGGGCACACGTGACGTAGCGAATTTAGAGAGCGTACGCGTACGCCACTCGACAGAACATTTTAATATCAACATGATATCAACACACGTCCGATGGTTTAGAAAAATCGATCGGGCGACAAAATACGCCGGCACGGCACACGAGCGATAATAATCGCCCGGCGGTAAATAATCGCCGAAAATATCTAACATTTTGGAACGGGCGATTCGGTCGGCCGATTAAAATCGGCGTCGACGTGAAGGGGCACGACGAGCGACGTGAAGGGGCACACGAGCGATTTTTTCGAGCGCATTTGAAATTCGCGGCGATCGGGCGATAAAAATCGCTCCGTGTGCCCCTACCTTATGTATTTCGGCAGGAAATCGCTGGATCAAACGTTCTGCCGCATCAATCTACTCGTGAATTGTCTTAATCGATGGCTAGTGGCTCATTAACAAAAATCACGAGGGCTATCATCTGAGCCGAGGGTATCATTATCTGGCAGACACGTTGTGCGCTCAGCGCAGTCCCAACGTGTGGGTGACAAAGGTCAATGCCGTTAAACGCCTAGATTACAGCCCAGAGGCGTGTTCAGGAGAGAACGCTCGCTCGCTTCTGAACGACACTGCGCCGGAGCAGCGACGCGAGCGTGTTGCGCGCAAGTTTGAAAAGCTGTTCGCTCAGTGCGCGATTGTTTACAAGATGGCGACGAAAAATCTGGCCGAAATGCGAATCTAACATTTCTGACGTCATTTGCAATCTATTTCAACTTTATTCACTTTTCATTCATTCATTTACTATCTAAATTCAATTTGTATCAATTTCGTCGTAATTCGTTTAACAGTACTTGTTCTCTCGCGAATTAAAATCTGCTGGAGAACCCCCATGGGGCCGCCATCTTTGATCAAGCGACGCGCAAACGCGAGCGCACACGCGAGCGCTCGGTGTGTCGGTTCAGGAGGCGCTGCGTTCGTTCATGGAGCGTCTCGCTCTCCTGAACACGCCTCTCGGTGGCAGAGCCCGGTGGTAGGTTACTGTCGGTAGCATATGTTGGTGCAACGCTCGTGCGAGGTACTGACGTCACACTGACGTCACTGCATGTACCCGACGACGTCACTGCCATGATGTGCGGCCACGGCATGTGGGTTAATTATTCCGGTCTGAGCCGAGCGCCAACTCTTCCAGTGTTGCACCACAACATGAAATAATATAGTTTGTTCTAAAATACAAACATTTGAAGCAAATGTATTATTCTCGCCTGAGACCGTGGCGCAACTTTCTCAGCGGTGCACCACATGCAGATATAAACTATAAAGGCCTTGGATAAATGATGTACAAGTATTGCTCGGCTGAGACATGCGCCAACTCTTCTCAGCGTTGCACCACATGCAGTTATAAACTATAAAGGCCTTGTATAATGATGTAGGCCAATTATTCCGGCTGAGACATGCCGCCAACTCTTCTCAGCGTTGCACCACATGCAGTATAAACTATAAAGGCCTGTGATAATGATGTAGCCAATTATTCTCGGCTGAGACATGCGCCAACTCTTCTCAGCGTTGCACCACATGCAGATTATAAACTAAAAGGCCTTGTATAATGATGCTAGCCAATATTCTCGGCTGCGACATGCGCCAACTCTTCTCAGCGTCGCCACATGCAGTTATAAACTATAAAGGCCTTGTATAATGATGTAGCAATTATTCTCGCTGAGACATGGCCAACTCCTCTCATGTTGCACCACAACATAAATAATATAGTCTCAGGCGAGAATAATTGGCTAAAATGTATTTTAGACAAAAACTAAATATGTTATTACGTGGTGCAACACTGAGAAGAGTTGGCGCACGTCTCAGGCGAGAGTAATTGGCTGAAATGCATTTTAGAGAAAAACTAAATATGTTATTACGTAGTGCAACACTGAGAAGAGTTGGCGCACGTCTCAGGCGAGAGTAATTGGCTAAAATGCATTTTAGACAAAAACTAAATATTTTATTACGTGGTGCAACACTGAGAAGAGTTGGCGTATGTTCAGGCGAGAATATTGGCACATCATTAACAAGGCCTTTATAGTTTTTACTGCATGTGGTGCAACGCTGAGAGAGAGTTGTGCGCGCATGTCTCAGCGGAGAAGTAATTGGCGTCACATCATGTATACAAGGCCATTCTTAAGTTACTACAGCATGTGGTGGCACACGCTGAGAAGAGTTGGCGATGTCTCAGGCCGAAAATTTGGCTACATCATTATACAAGGCCTTTATAGTTCTAGTACTTGCTGTTTGTGCAACGCTGAGAAGAAGTTGGCGCATGTCCGGCCGGAGAAATAAATTGGCTACATCATTATACAAGGCTTTATGTTATACTGCATGTGGTGCAACGCTGAGAAGAGTTCGGGCATCGGTCTCAGCGGAGAATAATTAAATTGGCTTCAAACCTTTTTGTATTTAGACGAGACTATATTATTTCATGTCCGTGGCTGCAACACTGAGAGGTTCGGCGTCACGTGGCTCAGCCGAGAATTATTACATTTGCTCAAAATGTTTTGTATTTTTAGACGAGAGACACTATTATATTGTCATGGTGATGGGTAGACGACTGGAGGAGTGTTTGGCGGCACACGTCTCAGCCGAGAATAATTAAATTGGGTTCAAAATTTTGGATTCTTAGAGCAAAAACGTAAGATATGGTTAATTATGTGTGCAACACTTGAGAAGAGTCCGCATGTCTGCAGCGAGAATAATTGGCTATATCATTAACCAAGGCCTTTATAGTTTATTACTGCATGTGGTGCAACNATTTTTGTTCACACGTGCCATAAATTTGACCATGTGAATGATCAAATGAGTGTGTGTGTTACAAGTACTTATGTCCGTAATATAATCAGTAACGCTTTTCTGCAGTATGCGATGTAATTACGACTACTAGTAAATGACTTATTATTGGTAAAATGTCTGTTTCTAACGGAAGAAATGTAATAAACAGGGGCGGATCCAGGATTTCTCAATAGGGGGTTAATTGGGGGGGTCACAGATTCTACGCTCAGTAGAGGGGGTTTGAGTAGGGCCCGAAGTTTTCCGCGAAAATCGCGGAACGGGAGGAGAAAGCGGAAAACTCAGTCTTGAAAAAAGATGTAAAAATTAACGGACTACCAGCCTAGGACACTGTGCGATTTTCTACGCTGGCCGCTTGCGATCGATAAATACGGTGCCGGGTCTGCGCGGTGTGCGAAGGTCGGGCGGGCGCGCGTCTCACGGCAGCGTATTTCGCTCGCGATCCTGCGATTTTCTACGCTGGCCGCTTGCGATCGATAAATACGATGCCGGGGTCCGCGCGGTGTGCGCGGGTCGGGCGGGCGCGCGTCTCACGGCAGCGTATTTCGCTCGTGATCCCATACGCCCGGCTGATCGCACGCATTCAAAGCGTTCAACCGGTTTTTCATCTCTTGCATACAAATAAAAAAAATTAAGGCTTTTCTAAGCTTTTGGTGAAATTTAGAAAGCAGAAGAAAGCAGAATTTGACATTCATCAAGCAGAAAACTTCGGGCTCTAGACCGTTTGAGACAGTCACACCATCCTGTCCGGATCACATATTTTACGCTCAGTGGGGGGGGGGGACAACATATATACTATGTACTACCCTGCCAGTAGGGGGGCTGGAAAGATGATTTCGATACTTTTTAATGTAATTTTTCCCCTGATCTCCCAATAGGGGGGGGGGGCAGAGCCAGGTCGCCCCCCTAAAGTTGTGTTGACAGAGCAATGTGTTCCACATTACAAATTTAACGTACCCATTCGTCATTTCCCTCACGCTTTAAACATGGATACTGGGAAATCATCTTTCTTCCGATTGCCGCGTACTCCTCTCTGCCCGACATCCCCGGGAAGAATTGTAAGTAGTAAGCAGCCGCCTCATCTACCATCAACCTCTATACTGGGTTAGGATCCTGTTCCTCCAAACACTTTTGCACTCGAGAAGAAAACGGTGGCAGTGGAGTTACCATGGTCACCCGACAACCTACAAATAACATGTATAATATTTAATTTTTCGAACATGCACTAGCTCTGTAGGTCTTGCTGATACCTGTTAGGACAAATATCGAAAATTTGTACTGTATGGGAACTTGTATAATTAAAATACAATTGAATCCACATCTTTGACTGAAAGAAAAAAAAAGTACCCCTCTTACCCCTACTTGCATTACCTGAAGCTGGTGATGCAGGTCGACCAGTAGGCGTTGCTGCTCCAGATGGCGTTGCTTGTCTGGAAGACGCCCCTGGTTCGACAGACGGTCCTGCAGTGTCGACATCCCTCATAGGGTGCTTAGGCGTGACTGGCTGACCATTCTCCATCAGCACGGGGCCACGAGGAGTCCAGCTTTCCCCGTCTTGAAGGACCATGAGGATCTCTCCCTTGACGGACTCCAAAATGTCATCGTCGTCCACCTCTGTCCCGTCGACCTCCAACACCACAGTCACTTTTCCTGACAAGCCAAGTTTAGCAGAACCTAGACAAAAAAATACAGTTAAAAGAGGTATTTCCTCATTTAAAGCGATTATTGCGAGAATTATCCAGTGTTTTCCCCACTTTCATGAT